TAGGAACAGTATGCTGGGCACCTTGCGTGGTCCAGGGAGACCAAGGAAATCCTCCAGCAGTAGGTGATGTTTACTGATATTTGGAAAAGCCAGGCTGGGGAAGAGTGTCCTAGCCACAGGGACTCCAGATTCAGGGTCTTCAGACTTGTGCTTTGCCTGGAATCCTCTGCCCCATTTAGGCGTATGACTACTCCCTTCCTTCAAGTCTTTACTCAGAAGCTATCGTGTCAGTAAAGCCTTCCCTAGACACCCTACCCTTACTTCATATTCTCCTTCTCTGCTTAATTTTTTTCTGGGAAGGAAAAAAAAAGAAAAAAGCTCATTTCATTAGCTGTCTTTCCTACCAGAAAATATGTTTAAAAACAACGTCCATACCACAATACCCCAGCTCCCTAAGGGCCGGGATTTATGTCTCTTTTGTTTATTTTATATCTCCAGTGCTAGGACAGTACCTGGCACATAGTAGACACTCAATAAATTTGTTAGTACTGCATTTTACAGAGGAGAAGTCTGTGGCTCAGTGTGATTAAATAATTTACTCAACCTCACACAGCTAGGAAGTGGCTGAGTTGGGTAGTTAAATACAGGGTGGGGCAAAAGTAGGTTTACAGTTGTGAGTATGCGAAACACAGTTTATTCTTGCATTATTATTAATTATTGTATTCTTTTCCATACGAAGAACTGTAAACCTACTTTTGCCCCACTCTGTATTCTATGATGCTTTCTGACATAAAAATACCATTTAGCAAAAAGACAGAGCATATCAAGGACCCCTCTCCAGCCCCCCTCCCTCCCCCAGTTGAAGAAAAGTCTTTTACCTGAGGAAGGATTAGCTGCTCGAAGGTTTGTGGCGTTGCTCTGCGGACTCTTGACGAGGGCATTCAGATTTGAGTGTTTTTAAGCAAGGAAGGTGGGAAGCCATCTCAGCACTTGTTTCGAGGCAAAAAGGCCAGTGACTAATTACATGCAGAACAGCTGCTTGAGGGGAATGGCCCGCAGGAGGAAGAGGCAGAGGAAGGAAAGGGGGAGAATTTTTAGTTATCAGCAAGACCTGCCTCACTGGTAATCCTACCCAGACTTGCCTAAAGTTCCTTCCTGGTCCCCATTTCGGTGAACACACAGAGAGGGATCCTAGCAGAATACAGGAAGAGCAATCGGAAAACAACCCTATAATTAGATCCGCTGAAGTTTTGTTAGAATGAGGGCAGTGATTTTTAAAGTGTCTTTTTTGAGGAGGAAATTTGGCTGGACAGTGGTTGTGCCCAGAGGTGAAACCCAGGCCTCTTCTCTTCCCACTTGGGAAGACACACTGCTGGCGCTGTCCCGCCACAGGAACCCAGCCCTCTGGGGAGTGGGGTTTCTGGAAGCAGAGCCCAGGCAGGCAGGTGGCTTTCCTAAACAGAGCAGAGGGAAGAGGCAGGGCCGGGGCGTGCGTGGAAGCTGAGTCTTGTGACCCATCAAGCCCAGAGCTGGATTCCCTAGGGCCAGGCAGAGCATGGGCCTGTCCCCTGACATACTTAGCCTGGTGCCCAGCACAGAGCAAGTCCTCAATATGGTTTCTGTTTCCTTCTTTTGATGAAAAAAATGAGGGGCTGAGACAATGGTTCCAAAAAGGACTAGGAGAGGCTCATTTCAAAGGTCCTGGGTTGTAGCCCAGACAGTAGAGGAAGGGACAGAGCCGCTTAAGTTGCAAAACGCCTCCTGTTGGCAGCGTTCAGCTGCTTGCTTTCCTCCTCAGAGGTGCAAACAAGGAGCAGCAGCAGCAGTCTTGGGTTCTGTCGTGTCTTCCATTTTCCCTTCAGAGCAGCCTGCCTCTTCACACGCTCACCACCAGGCCCCAGGGCCCCTGGCAGTGCCTGCATGCTTCACCCACTTCCCCTCTTTAGCTATGCTCTCACCCTCCAGCTGCTGTCCTCTCTGGGAATGGCCCTTGCCCACATGGAACTGCCTTGCCCAAGGGTTCATCCCTCCCAGGGGCACCCTGAGACCAGTGGCTGCAGGACAACTCTAAAGAGTCATCTAGCCCCAGAGCTCCCCACTGGATCTGCTGAAACTCATTGTGGGTGAGCATCTCCCTCAGCCCAATCCTGCCTTCCACCCTTCCTCACAAGTATCTCTCAGAGCTCTCCTAAAAGCCTTCTGCCTGTGACTCTGGGGAGCTCACTCTCAGACCACTCACGTCTTCGTTGTCCGCTGTCTTTGCCTCTCCAACCACAGCCGCTCACCTGACCTCCCAGGAACCCCCTTTCCACTAAAATGCAGCCATCTTGCAGCCCAATGACTGTAAAACGGGTGCTGATGGGTTACTATGTTACCCAATAAAAACAGCTATCATTATGGGAACTGATCCTTATGTGCAGCTGGCAATCAGCAAAGCACGCTTGCATACATCACCTCATTTCCAAAGTAGAATGGCACGACAGTCTCCAAAGTGATTCTGCCTGGATTTGAATCTTGGTCTTACTGCTTATTAGTCGTGTGGCCTTGGGCCAGCTATATAACCTTTCTATTGCTCCACTTCTCCATTTGTAAAATGGCATAGTAATGGGCCATTCCTCCTAGAGTTTTTGTTAGAATGAAGTGAGTCAGTACTTGTAAGGTCTCAGAATCGTCATGACACACGGTAAGCACATAGTGTGTGTCAGTTATTGGTAGTTGATCCCTGAGATATTATGATTACCCCCTAGTTGGACATCTCTCGTGGCCCGCCTCACACTCTCAGCTGCCTTTCCACTCCAGTCCTTGCTGCAGCCACCTGCTGGCACAGGTGTCCTCCAACAGCACCTTGCTCAGCTGTACTGCTTCTTTCTTCTAGTTTGGAGTGGCTTAATGTTTTATTTTAAAAAAGTGGAATGGAAAAAAATTATATGAACAAGAATCTGCATATTTTGCTCTTATTTATCCCCTGCATGCGTCTACTGTAATAGATTTTAGCCGACAGCTACTTTTTTAATGAACAGACTCTGAGGGGGTGATAAAACCTCAAACCAGAAACCTTCCAAAAAGCTCTCCTTTTCTTTCTGAGTCTTGGGGAAAGCGCTTCTAACTTATTAACAGCTCTAATAAAGGTTAGCCATTCATGGAAAATCCAGTAGGTGTGAGACTCATTCTCCACCGAGTGCAGCTGTCCCTCCTGAGGACCCTGGGGACCACTGAGAGCAGCGCCCTGACGAGCTGTGGTGACCTGCTCTGTGCCCATCCTTCCTGCGTGGGAGCAGATCTTCTTAGGATCTCCCTACACTCTATGTCTAGTTATCGCACTTCACACCGCCATCGTTCACTCCCTAATGGAGACGACGGCAGATGCATCGGCTTAAGACACTTGGAAAGAGAGTGCTAGGGGAGAAAGAAAAAGCCTGCTTGGGGACTGCGTGGATTGGCGGTTTCCAGCGGCTCACCATGCGTGTCTCCGCAGTCTTGCAGCCCCTGCTGCTTCTGTGAACTGCTTATTTCTTACTTCCTGCCCCGGCTTCTTTGCCACCTCCCCCTGCGATGCCTGCGCAACACACTCAGCCATTCTGACCCAGGCAGGCGTGGAAGTGTGCGGGAGTAGTATCCCCGTGTGCCATCCCTTCGTCCCTTGTTTTATGCCTCGAGAGAACAGAATCTGCTCCCTCAAGGTCTGACTTCAGTTGCCCACCGCAGCGGGCACCCCAGGCTGGGCTTTCCCTCCTTCCCTGCCTCAGTCTTCCCAGTTGCCCACTCCTGTAGTATGAGCTCATTCCCAAAATATATACCCACACGGTAGCTTTTGCCTCATGCCCTGTGTCTGGGGAACCATCTAACCACACAAGAGGAGCGTGAGAGAATAAAAAGAGGCCTGCTCAACATCCAGAATCAGGTCTGGGTGCAAATCAAAGCCTCCCACCTGCTGAATCTCACGCCCTCACACTGTGCCTCCCCCTACCCCCACCCCCCCATTGATACATATGCATCTTAACAGAGGCCTGGAAGCCTGATTAGCTGATGGGAGGCCGGGGAGGAAGTGGCTTTGGACACTTTCCTGTCACAGCCCCTCTCCTGTCCCTGCTAGCGCTGGTCCTATATGGCCAGAGGGTGATGCACAGTTGTTCCACTTGACAGTCAGGACCAGGGACTGTGTGAAATTTCTCTTTGTATCACCAGCACTCAGGGCCTGGCATATAGTAGATGCTTAGTAAATGTTTGCTGGATACGCAGGTCCAGAAATCAAGCTATTGATGGTTTTTTTTTAAAGATTACTTTTTATGTGGCCATACCTCTTCCTATACTTAGTGTTTATTTTTTATGCTGGTTTGGAATGTGCTCTCTAATGGACAGAGAACATTTTGGGGAGCGGGTTGTTTTCTTTTTTACCAAGCTAAGTCAGCACAGAATCATGTACTTGAGAATTATTCCAGTTATACTGAATACTTCCTGAAATTATTCAAGAAAACCTGGTTATCAGTTTGACTGACTGATTAAAGAAATAGCTAGGCCTTGGCCGGTGTGGCTCAGTTGGTTGGGCATCCTCCCATGCACCAAAAGGTTACCAGTTTGATTCCCGGTCAAGGCACATGCAAGGGCTGCAGGCTCTATCCTTGGTAGGGGGGCATGCAGAAGGCAACCAATTGATGTCTGTCTGTGTGTCTCTTTCCCTCTCCTTTCCTCTCTCTCTCTCTCTCTCTAAAAAAAATAAAAAATAGCTAGGAGCTGCCAAACTAGTGGCTTATAGGACAGTGTAGTACTAAGATAAATGGTCATTATTTTATATTGAAATTTCTCTGAAATATACTATAGGCCCTCCCACTTCCTATAGCATTCTGTCTGTCTTAATTCTCAAATTTGTGTTACCCGCCTACACCTTGTGGGTATATGGGTTCGCGGCCCCTGCATAGAGTGACACACAACAGGGTATTCCTTATACAGAAAGAATGGAAGCTGCTGAACATCACAGTTCCTGACTTGTCCTATAGCTTGCTCAGCCTTTCCTCACCGCCATCAACAGGTGCCTAATGATAGCATAATACCCTGCCTTCCAGGTACTATAAGATCTCCGTGGTGCTCATGTGCTTCATGGTCCCCACACTGGTGCCCTGGTGTGTCTGGGGAGAGAGTCTGTGGAACTCCTACTTCTTGGCCTCCATCCTTCGCTATGCCATCTCACTCAATGTCACCTGGCTGGTCAACAGTGCCGCCCACATGTATGGAAACCGGCCCTATGACAAGCACATCAGCCCTCGGCAGAACCCACTGGTCACACTGGGCGCCATCGGTGAGTAGGGGTGTGAGAGCAATGGGAGAATGGCAGCTCAATTTGCCTGGCTTCTCATGGTTTTGTGGAATCTGTAAAGAGAAGCAACAGAATGGAATGGAATGAACTTGGGTCTCTGGTGTTAGCATCCTGGCTCATGGACAAGTCACTTAATCTCTGATTTATAGTCTTCTTACCTGTGAAATGGGAATAGCAATGCCTTCTTTATAGGGATGTTGTAAGGATTAAATAAGATACTTGTATATGTAAATTGCTTGGTATAGTACCTGGCATATAGTAGGTGATCAGTAATTAGTAGCTATTTATTTTTGCCATGGAAATTTTCCTACAGGAGAGAAGCAGTTGACTTTTCTCTCCAACTGCCCAGAGCACTGTAGCCTCAGCTGTCCTATCATTTGGCTGACCGTAAGCAAACAGGCTTCAAACAACAAGATGGGAAGAAACAAGATTGTGGCATCTCATGGTACCACAAAGTGGTTAAGAGCAAGGCTCCTGGGGTCCAACAAATTTGGTAGAGCTCTGGTTCCTTCATGTACTATCTGGGCAAGCTTTCTGGCTCTTCCCCACCCCGTGTCCTCATCTGTAAGGGTTGCTGGATACACAGGCTCCACATGGTACCCACACAGTAGCTTTTGCCTCATGCCCTGTGTCTGGGGAACCTCCTCCTGGGGTTGTTGGAGGGTTAGATAAATTAACACATAGTGTTTGCAGCAGTACTTAGCACAAATAAGCCTCCATTGATGTCGTTTTTATTACTAACCATATAGTCTTGAGCAACTTATTTGACCCTTTTGTGCATTTACATCTTCATTTTAAAATGGGGATAATCATAGTCCAGAGGTGTGAGGATTACAGGAGTTCATACACATTAAAGCGCTTAGCACTGTGGCTGGCACACAGTGAGTGGTTAATAAATATTAACCATAGCTGTAAAGAAGCAGTTGGGTTTCTTGGTAAGCTGAGCCCTGAGCATGGAGCTCAAACCCAGGAAGAGAAGTTCCTGCTGTTGAGTAAGAATGATCTCTGCGTCACTGAGCAATGAGTTCCTACCATCCCTTTGTTAAAGTTTTCCATTTAAGACCCCAGTGAGCTTTTGTTGACAGAGCACCATAAGATGGAATAAACACCAAATTTAGCTATGGGATAGCAGGGAGAAAAGTGCCCTGGAAAACAAGAGGAAGAGTTTCCTGACCCTCCTATTGCTTTCTCCTCCTGTCACCCTTCATCTCCTAGAAGGACCCTAATGAGGGAGCCACATCTAACGTTGACCCTGAGAGCAGACATGAGTGGGGACAAGAGAAGCTGTTATAATTTTATAGAGAGAAAGTTGTCCAGGAAACCCAAGGAATGTGGTGGCCATAGCGCGTACCCTGAAGAGCTGGGGTATTGGTTTTAAGCTTGTCCAGGTCCACACTGGGCTCCCAGTCATGAAGACCTTTCTTCATAAAGGTCCTTGGAAGGCTCTTGTTACATCCAGCTGTACAGACCAGTGACTGTTTCTGAAAATAGAGGAAAACTATCTAGTCCTAGAACAAAACTAAAAATGACAAAGGTGGAGGGCAGAGTAGAGAAACCTAAGTTAAGAAAATTGCAGACCACAGATCAATCCATCTGATGTACTCATTGTAAAGCAGAATCCTTCAAATGTTGTCAATAGAAGAACTAAATGATGACCTATAGCCACTTAAGTAGTAAAGGAAGAATCTGGCAGTTCCTTAAATGGTTAAAAACAGTTACTATGCAACCCAACAACTCTATTCCTAGATTTATACCTAAGAGAGATGAAAATGTATGTGTACACAAAAACTTGTATATAAATGCTCATAGCAACATTATTCATAATAGCTAAAAAATGGAAATAATCCAAATGTCCATCAACTGATGAATGGGTAAATACAATTGTATAAATACAATGGCACAATAAATGGTAAATCCATATAAAAAGAAATGAAATACTGATACCTACCACACCTTGAAAGCATGCTAAGTGAAAGAAACCAGTCTCATAGGATTACATATTGTATGATTTTGTTTATATGAAATGTACAGAATAGGCAAATTTATAGAGATTGTATTAGTCAGCGTTCTGCAGAGAAACAGAAACTGTGTGTGTATCTCAGTATACTGTTATATATTATATATATATTTCTCATAATAAACTTCCCTATATATAGAAGCAGTAAGATATGTATGTAAACTTAGATATATTCTATTGTTTCTGTATATAAATAGAGAGATAGAAAGATCAAGTGGTTTATTATGAGGAATTAGCTCACGCTATTATGCAGGCTCAGAAGTCCCACAACCACCACCACCACCACCACCCCCGCAAACTAGAGACCCAGGAAAGCCAGTGGTATAATTAAGTCCAAAGACCTGAGAACCAAGGGAGCCAAAGGTGTAAATTCCAGCCCCAGGGCAGGAGATGAGATAGATGTCCCAATTCAATCAGTGAGTCAGGAATAAAGGGGCAGATTCCTCCCCACTCCACTGTTGTTCTATTCAGGCCTTTAATGGATTGGAGAAAATTGGGGAAAGTGATCTGCTTTACTGAGTCCATTGATTCAAATGTTAGCCTCATCCAGAAACACTCTCATAGACACACCTCGAATAATGTTTAATGTGCACCCCTTGGCCCATCACAAAGACAGAAAGTAGGGCTGGGAGGGATGGGGGAATGGCTGGGGGATCACAGCTGTGGGGTTTACGGTTCCTTTTAGCTAATGAAAATATTATAATTCATTGTGGTGATAGATGCATAAGTCTGAACATTCTAAAAATCATTAAGTTGTATACTTTAAATGGGTGAATTGTATGGTGAGTTATATCTCAATAAAGCTGTTTTAAAAATTCAAATGAAAGAAGCTGTGAGGTACTCCTGGCCCCCTCCCCCTGAAAACACTTTAACAAAAAGGAGGAAAAGCTATTCACTGAGAGGGATAGAATAATCTATAGGCAGATTTTGGATCTTTAAAGATACAACTCTTTGATTTACTTACCTATTCAAACAATTCTCATTTATCTCTTCAAAGCCCTCCCAAGGTCTCGCTCTAATCACTCCAGTCCACAGAAGCTATTTTCTTTTATGAACATCCATCAAAATGGTGACCAACCATTTGGCATTTAGCTTTAGAAGTACAGCTCTGAAGTCATGGCACCATGTCTCCATTCATAGTATGGAGAATTATCTTGTGACTTTATACTGATAACTTTATTGTTATTTTGTTCACATTTAGTTTTTCTAGCCAACTAAGTAAAACTTCCTAAGGGCAGGAACCAAGTCTTTTGCTCTATAGAGAGGCCGACACTGCATCTTGCACATGGTAGACCCTCTTAAGAAATCTGTACAGACAGATGGTGAGTGGTTTATTTCAATGCTCACTTTGTCTTCCAGGTGAAGGCTTCCACAATTACCATCACACCTTTCCCTTTGACTACTCTGCGAGTGAATTTGGCTTAAATTTCAACCCAACCACCTGGTTCATTGATATCATGTGCTGGCTGGGGCTGGCCACTGACCGCAAACGGGCAACCAAGCTGATGATCGAGGCCCGGAAAGCCAGGACTGGAGATGGCAGCGCTTGATCCTGGAACCGCCATCATCCAACATGCCTGGCGATGACACCTTGGTTCATGCCTTCTGTTTCTATAGTTTTCTTGCTCATTGGATCATGGGAAGGGTAGAGGGTGGGAGGGAGTGGAATGTATGTGGTTTGGAAATTTTTTGTTTGTCTCAAAGTCAAGCTACAGCTATCAATGAAAAAAATTTTTAAGTCAATGTAACAATGATTTAACATTAGTTGGTGGACATGTGATTTAATCGCTGTAGCTACAACATGTCAAACATACATTGTCATGTGCTTTACCTAATGTTAACCCTGACAGGATGAAGGAATTTAATATTCTTTCAGTATGATTCAGGAGAGCATTTTCTTTTCTACCAATTAACCCAGCATTATTTTTAAACATACTATCTGAAGGAACAGAGAGGCAGGATAGCAGACAAAAGAGGGGGTCTAAGTAGTAACTAAAGAATGTTTCTGTTTTGTAATTAGTGTGTGTTTTTGTTGTTTTTTTTTAACTTAGAGAATTGAACATTTAAAAAAAATGAGAATACAGGAAATGGCTTTCTCGCCCCCCGCCCCCCCGTTTACAGCTTGTTGATGTTCCACTGTCTGCTTCAAGAGAAGTCTGTTCATGGCCCAGCTAGTTTTGTGTCCCAAGTGGTACGCCCAGCCAACCCTATAAATCAGTGCCTAGTTAGGTGTTTGATTTTATTCTCTTTGCTATTGTCATTTTAAAGGTGTATAACTCAGACGTGCAAGATATCAAATTAAGCTGAAATTAAGCTTTCATTTCAATGTTTAGATACATAATTTATACTCCAGTTGATCCCAGCCACTGATGCATGTACTTTAGCTGCTTCTGCTAAATAAGCATATTAATTTCCACACCAGGCCATCAGATCCTAATAACTGACAGTTATCTAGAACTCAGTGTCTACTAATGTTTCACCTGCATGCGGCTTTCATTGATTTTGCAGCAAAATATAAAGTGATCATTATGTATCTTCTCGATTAAAAATTTCTTATGTGTTAAGTTGCCTTGTAAAGAGCATGTTGAATTAATGGGACAGTGTGCCCTTTGTGTTAGATGTTAGAGCAAAAGAAAGGCTTATAGTATTGGCATTGGAGCCCTTCAAAGATAGATCTTTTTAGGAAAGATGTAGGATTTAAAATTAAAATTTTAAATTTTTGAAGAAACGATACCAATAGGAGATTGTCATAATGAAGTTCTTCATCCAGCAGGTGTTAAACAGTGTTATTTTGCCATTAAAAATGTATAAACTATGAGTGATTTACAATAAATGATTATGGATTTGTTGGTGTTCTTGAACCAGAGACTTGAGCGTTGTTTAGAGAATGTTCTCTTAAGGGTACCTGATGCTTCTCAACGACCACATGATTAGCATTTGATTTGGGCTCTGGGCTAACAACAGCCCCTAAGACCAGGCCTCTCCTAACCCATTTTCCTCCGGCACAACCAGAGGGAAAGTCAGCAGGTTACATTTGGAATAGCTATTTAGAATCTTCTGCTCACTAAAGGATATCCCCTGTTAGTCCAAATAAATCCAGAACCTCACTCCTCTGAAGCTGGGTGCCATGTCTATCTGCGGCAGCACCATGGATAACATAAGGATGGAGATGATTTTGATGAAAAAGTAGACCAAGGTTAGATCACTTTAGGGTTTTCCATATTAACATTACCTCTAGGTCTCAGCAGCATCTAAGAGAAGAAAGTAGCCCGGGAAGCATCACAAAATCCCATCCAAGGTGGCCCCAGAGACATCAGTAGGGTTTTTGAAAGGTTCAGTTTAAAGTACGGAATGTCCTGTCTTTAGTCTTCTGTGTCCTACAAGGCGTATTTCAGAAGCACCCACCCCTGCATCTAGGTGAGCAGAGCGGAGGGAAGCTGTTCCCGAGGTGCTCGTCCCACGCGTGCCGTGGCAGCCACACAAGCGAGCTCAGCTGCACTGTGGCCAGCTGTGTGGCCTTGGGAAAATCAGTCTGTCTGGATCCAGTTTTCTGACTCAATCAAAATTGCTGTGTTTTCCTAGGATGTGATTTTAGGCCAAACCACAGGGAAGTGCCATTTGCTAATCGACTAAGCCTCTCTGAACCTCAATGCCCACAAAGGGAGAACAGTAACGCTGATGTACATCAGATAAACCCGGAGGTCTGGAGCACAGGGCCTGGTGCACCGTAGATGTGCGGGAGATAGTAGTCGAGCGTGAAGAATGTGCCCAGACACAAGGCAGAAACAGATGTAGTCACGTAACCACAGACAAGTGAGGAGGACCAGCTTCTAGTTGTCTTTTTGCTACCAATTAGCTGGATGGTGAAGGACAGCAGACTATACCCAAAATACACCACTTTGATATAGGATTGTTTTAGGTTAAAGGCGCTTGAAAAACAGTGCATGCAAGAAGGGGACTCTGACTCCCACCCTTTTTTTAAAATCCTCAACCTAGGATATTTTTTCTATTGCTTTGCTTTTCAGAGAGAGTGGAAGGGAGGGGGGAAGAGAGAGAGAAACATCAATTGGTTGCCTCCCTCGGGCTGGGGCTAGGGATCGAGCCTGCAACCAAGGTCGGTGCCCTTGACCAGAATTGAACCCGAGACCTTTCAGTCCAAAGGCCAATGCTCTAACCACTGAGAAAACCAGCCATGGCATGGCTTCCCTTTTTCTTCCTAAAAGCAAAAGATGAAACTCCCATGTGAACGATGTGCTCTCTGTAGGAGGAAGAAAGAAATATTCTTACCACCAGAGAAGGGGAGAAGGGGCCGAGAGAAATCAGTACAACCCTGTTAAGTGACGCTTATCTTCCTTCAGCCTCCCGGTGTATTCTAGTTACTGGCTCCCGTGCATGTGTGATAAACGCGTATGCTTCTCTCCTGCTAATGTGTGAACGTAATTCTCAGCCCGGCCAGAGACTGAGAGGGCAGAGGGCAGCCTCTTAGAGCCCAGCGCCCCTCTGTAAGGGACCCTGACGCCTCGGGTCATCCTGTCCGGCTCTGCCCCTCCCGGAGCCTTCCCCTCGGTGTGAAGAAGCCCCCCCGCAGGCAGAGCCTCTGCCCCGCAGCGCCGTCTAGCCTCTCGTGTCCCTCTGAACCTCCGGCCACCTTCCCGTGTCTTCACGCGGCCAACACAGGACATGTCTGGCCCGCAAGGTCCTTCGTGCTCTGTCAGCTCGTTTTCCTCCTCAGGGGCTGGGATGGGAGATCTGTGAAGGGAAGAGGCTGAGCTAATGGGGAAGAACGAGCGGCGGGGATGCTCTCTGAGGCTCCTTTACTCATTTCAGTCCTGTCCCCGGCTACAGAGAAGACGGAAAGCCAGTCCTGTTCTCAGTGGCTGCCCGGGAAAAACAAGGAAGGAAAGGAATGACCTCACCTTTATGGTCCTTTTCAAACGTCCCCATTTTTAGTTTAGGGTATTAGTCTCAATTCCCTCCTTCCCCTTCCTCGACGTCACGGAAGTGCTATAAATGACCTGGAAACTGCTCCTGTCCTCCCTGTGGGCTGCAGGTTCGTCACCTCCTGCCCCCACCCAGGAATGTTCCTGACTTCTAAATCTGCACCACCAGAAGCGAGAGGAAGGAAGGTGCCGGCGGGACACACCCCTAAGGCAGCAGGCCTGTGTCCAAGCAGCTGCTGCGGCTCTGTGACAGCTTCATTCTTTCCCTCTGCCCTTCGCCCTCCCGCGGAGCCTCGCTCCACATCTGGAAGCCCAGTCAGCCGCACTCTGCCCTGACCCCCGCACATCCCAAAGGGAACGACTGCTGCCGGCACCGAGCCGGAAAGGGCTGAGCAGGCTTTGCCCTGAGGAAGCCGCTTTCCCTAGAGAAACACCCCACCCTACAGCACTTAATGAGAAAGTGTTCTTCCTTACAGTACTCACTGAGAAAGTACCTTTTCCTGTAGTACTTAGCAAGAAACTGCCCTTCCTTTTAGTACTTACTGAGAATGTATACTTTCTCACAGTACTTACTAAGAACGCCCTTCCTGACCTACGGTTACTATGGAAAAGAGGTGCCTTTGCCTTCGACCACCTGTCCAAATCCCTACAACTGAGGATTTACTAAATCAATGTTCCCCCTTCCACCCTTTCCCAATCCTCTAAGAAGGTTACCTTTCATGTCATTGAGAGAAATCTCCGAAGTTGTTTTTCTGAAATACGCATGAACTGCTAGACAGAGCCAGTATTCCCTATGTTCTTGGTGGACAAAGTAACTGGGTCCCACTGGAGGGAGCATGGTTATATTTTTATTATCAGACTTCATATAAGCCTGAGCTCAGAGTGTGGGTCCTAAACACAGGAGCTGCATGTAGAGGCTGCTTCTTATCCTGAGCTGTATGACACTTGTGTGAGGGTCAGGGAGGAAGACAGGGACCCCCTATCAGGTATGCGTTGTGATTGCTGTGGTCACTGGTGGAGGCTGGATGACTTGGGTCGCCAACAGGGATATCTAGTGTCTCAAGGCAAGAGCAAGTGATCAGTGTAGGTGATGACTTTCCTGCTCCAGCAAATAGGCTTCCCATGGCTGAGGCGGATGGGTAGAGAAGACCCGCTCCAATTCCTTCCTGGCCCTGAAATCCCTGCCCATGAATACAAGAAGGGCTCTGTTAGTGCCGACTGGGCTCCCTCGACTCCTTTCTCTCAACAAAAAGGCACTTAAGCTCCGGGCATCGCAAAGTGCTTCTTCCAGATGCACCAACCAATGAGCACATCTATTTGCAGTGTTCTCTACAGCTCCTGCTAGACTGAGCTATTTGTAGTACTCGGGGTCCAAATACTTAGTCAGCTTGATAGAATATTATCACAGTTGCAACCTAGGCAGCCAGGGCACGAAAAAAATGAAAAATGATCTCAAAGTGGATACTTTGGCCTGGATGGTTTCAAAACACTGTTTTAAAAGTGAACACCTTGATTTTGTCTCTTTGTGGGGAATTTTTTAAGCAATGACACATTGGACCCATTTCAACACCTTTTTAGTTGATTTGAATCCGGGGACGTCAATCAGTTTTAAGTCCCTGAAGTGGATGGGCCATTTTGCTTGTGGTTTTGTTTAAACATTACTTGACTACTTGGCCCATATCTACACAACCCAGTGATAAATTGTTACTTTGTTGGGAGACAAACAGCCTAAGAAAAATATGCAAAACTTCTGCTTCTTCATCTAGAATAGGTAAGACGTAGAACAAATGGTTGCTTAGGTCCCTTCTTAGATAAAAAAGGATGGGAATTAATAGCAAGCAAGCTGAGAAAAGGCTAGATTCCGCTTTATCCAAAGAAAGATGTGGCTGGAAGCCATCCTAGTTGTGTATCTCTCTAAAAGGAAAAAAGGAAAGAGACTCAAGGCCAGAAAACTGACCCTCTGTTGACATCCATGTAAACAACTGTAGGTGGCGACAGAATCATGAGGCTGCTTGACGGATATTCGTGGACTGTCATTATGAAGGCTAGATATTTCTAAACAATATCATTTTTTGTTTTTGTTTTGCTTTGTATTGTTTAGCTTTTTAAGTTTCCAGCGAAGAGATGTCCTTAAAATGAACATTGCTGTGTGCAGGAGATTGCAGCATTGATACTTGGAAGCAGTAACATGCTTCAAAATAAAGTCACTAACCATCAATTGCCATATGAGTTGGCTGTCCAAGTTCCACATACCATTAGAAAGAGGTTGTGTGCAGGAAGCTCAGAGAGATCACTTAAACATTCCCAACAAACTTGCCTTGGAGAATCTGATTGATACAATGTCTTTTGTTGTAACATTCAATCTGTTGTTTTTCCATTTGCTTTCAATTCAGCACTGCCAAGTAAGAGAAAGTAGAACAGCTTGGAGTGATATAAAAATATAATTACTTTAGAAAGTATGCATATTTATCTTTTTTTTTTTTTTGCTACCCCCATTTCACTTCTTTTTCCAGCTCTAATGAAATGAATGCTCCTTGCTCATAATATATAGCACTTATGGGTTACTTCTAAGCGAGAAGAACATCCTTTTTACAATTTCTAGGTCACTGATTGTAGTGCATTTTTAAAAATTTCCTTTGCATCAAAAAGGAAATCAAATGAAAGCACATCAGGCTTGAAAGGCCACTGGCGGTACCACAGAACCTTAGCAAACCAGTCTGCAAATGACACCTCAGATCACTGAAAGTGCTCAACACACCACCTTTGGAAAAGATAATGACAAGAAAAAGAAAATCTTCTTTAGAAAGCTATTTTCCCAAACTCCACATAGCTTTGACCACATTCGGCTCAATTTTCTGAATCTATTACAGCTGCATCTATAAAATGATAGGCAAAGAATTCACAACTCCCATTTAAAAGCCAGGCA